TCGTCGGTCTCAAGTGTAATCTGTATATAAGCTACATTCCGCGCAGTATTCCAGAACGAACGGTCGAACAATTTCCCCTATATATATATATATATATATATTTCTCGGCGCGGTTTCTCGATAATTAACGTTCGAGAAAATTAACACGACATACTGCGCCGCGCGCGTAATGTAATTTATACCGGAAATTTTCATTCGTAAGACTTACACGAAGAGTAGCTGTTTGATTTTTCTTAAAAATTCAATCGAGCTACCGTTCTGAATTTTAATCTGATTTGGTAATTTAGTTTAGGGTTTCTGCAAAAAGGACTCGCGACGAGGAAACGCGAGACCAAAAATAAAAAGAATACCATTCTTTTAGCAAAGGGGCGACATTTCGCCCCGTTCGCCAATAACCGATGGGGCTGTCCTCGCGTCGATTAAATTCCTAGCAAGGTCAGGCATAGCATTTCCCATGGCTCGCCGGCATTAGCGATTCTAGCCGCGCTTCGTGGCGGCCGCTGTCATTAGTAGGCCGTTCGGGTCATTTCGGCGAGTTTGAGCAATCAAAAGGACGATGATCGAGCAAATTCAGACACAATCGCGGGTAATCCATTTCGAAACGGAAGGAATAGAAATTTTGGTGGCCATACCGACGATAATGGACATAATAATGACAGTAATTATTATCACTCTATATTAATGGAATCGTTTATCGGAACGCCCTTTTATCGCTCGTTATCACATGAAGAGAAATTTTATGGATCATTTCTTAAAGGACATTTCGACAAGCTTCGAGCGATAACTCATAGCGCGACGACTATGTGTTGTAAATTAAGTAAGATGGAAATTTAACAATGGCTAATATATTATTTGCGAAGTAATATATATGTCAAACGTGCACATTAAGAAATTATAAGCCCGTGGAAAACTTCAAGCTCTCTGAGGATTCGCCGTAGAGACGACGGATTTGTCAATTTCGATAATGACATTTCGCAATGGCGAAATCGATCAAGGGTAGGAAAAGTGGGTCAGGCGCGCGCGATGTGTATGGGAAATCCAAAGCTAATTTCCATATTTTTCCCATGCTAAATGCACCCCGGTGAAATTTTAATTTCGCATTAACATAAACGTAAGATAAGATATTTCTAGAGTACGTCACAGACGCGCGTACGTCATCTCTTTTCGTTGTCGTCGTCACGAGATCGGGAGATCGTGCGAGGATCAAAGACTGACGGCAGTAAGATATTATAGATAAATATGTCCTTCTGTCCGTGAGCCTTGAAGAGCCATCGCACACGAGGAGGAGGAGGAGGAGGAGGAGGAGGAGGAGGAGGAGGAGGAGGAGGAGGAGGAGGAGGAGGC